GTTTTATTAATTATTTTAGAGAGCAAGTGGAGGGAGGAGAGGCAGAGGGAGAGGGAGAGAGAAAACATTTTTGTTTGTTTTTGTTTTTGTTTTGTTCTTGCTTTTGTTTTGTTTCTAGAAATGAGACAGTCTTTTTTTTTTTAAGAATTTATATATTTGATATACAGAGAGTGAAATAAGGAGAGAGAGCAAAAGCAGGGGGAACAGGAGAGAAAGAGGGGGAAGCAGCCTCCCTGCTCAGCAGGGAGCCTGATGCAGGACTCGATCCCAGGACCCTGAGATCATGATCTGAGCCGAAGGCAGAGGTTTAACCCACTGAGCCACCCAGGTGCCCGAGAGAAAAATCTTAGACTCTGAGCCCAGCACAGAACCTGACACGGTGTTCCATCTCCCAACCCTGAGATCATGACCTGAGCCAAAATCAAGAGTCAGACACTTAGTCAACTAAACCACCCAGGAAACCCTGTTTGATTTGTTTTAAATTCTCTATGCCTAGGAGAGTTTACGAAGCTGTTCCTTGTGGAATTCTAAAAGGATTGTTGATTTGGAGTCAAGATAAATGAAGAACTGCTCTGCAGGGCCTGGACCTGAAGCTATTTCACCTACTGCCCCCAGGAGAAGCTGTGATGCTACAGGCAGGAAGGATTTGAGCTATTGCTTCAGACCCTGGTTGACCTAAAGAGCAGGGACAAGGGTGATTCCTAATTATGTGGTGACACATTTTCTGAAATCGAGTTTGTGCACAGGGAGCTACCAGAGGTCTGCTTTGGACATATGGAGGTGCCTTTGAGTTGTCCAAGAACAACTTCAAATATGTGTTTAAAATTCAGAGGAAAGTCTGAGATAAAGATGTAAATGTGTACCCTCTATGCTCATTCTGGTGACATGAGTACATTCCATGCACTCACGCTATATTTATATAATTTCAGTTAGGTTCTGAAATTATATACTCATAAACACATATATTTTACTACAAAAGTGATTTATGCTTTCAGGTTGACTTTAGCTGGTTTGAAATTGGACAGTTAACAAGAGTTTATTAACTGTTTGTTTGTTAATGGATATTAACAAGAGTTTAGATTTGGGTATTTTGCTATATATTGCTGAGAATCATAGTTTTAAGGTGATTTCTGGGCCTCTTGTAGCATACAATCACATTTCCTGGGGTGTTGATATTTTGTCTCTTTCTTTCCATTCTCTGATTCACAGCTCACTGAGCAGGCACTTTCATGCTCTCTGATGCTTTGCATAGGCTCCTTGGGACTTGGGTTGGCTGCTGAGAGCTCTATTAATAGGGTTTCTTGGGGATGGGGTCTGGGAGCATCAAACAGGTGACCAGCAGCACGATGGTGTCACAGCTCCAATTCCTCCTCCTTCTGACATTGGGCATCTCAGGTGAGAGGCTGAGAGGAGAAAGATCTTTATAAAATTGGAAAATGACTTTACCACATGGTATGAATAAAACATTTCATTAAAACAGTTTGAGTACTTATGAAAAATAAGGAAACCTACATTTTTAGATACATATTTTAGTATACTAGTGAGACAGTGTATGGCCACTGTCCATTTGTGATTGCAGGTGTGTCTGGGGACATCGTGATGACCCAGTCTCCAGCCTCCCTGAACGGGTCTCCAGGAGAGCGTGTTGCCATGAACTGCAAGTCTAGCCAGAGTCTTCTATACAGTTCCAACCAGAAGAACTACTTAGCTTGGTACCAGCAGAAACCAGGGCAGGCTCCTAAGCTGCTCATCATCTGGGCATCCACCCAGGCATCTGGGGTCCCCGACCGGTTCAGCGGCAGTGGGTCTGGGACAGACTTCACCCTCACCATCAACAACCTCCAGGCCGAAGATGTGGGGGACTATTACTGCCAGCAGTATTATAACTTTCCGCCCACAGTGCTTCAGCCTCGAACACAAAGTTGCTCCCCAGGGCCATGGGGTCAGGGAGGTTTTGTTGAACCAGCTGCTTCCTCCCTGCTCAGCCTTGTTTCTCCCTAAGTTGTAGGAGAAGCCTTTGGGTGAATCATAGAAGAATGTATGAGTCTTAAGGGAAGATTGAGTGGATAAGCCGCTTCTATGTCTCTTGAAACAGGAGGTCATTCTGTGAAGACTGTAATGACTTGCCATGGGCTCTTGTCTACACCGTTCAAGATATTTTGGATCACCTGAATCTGAATTGTCCATACAGATGGATTTATATTACTGACATGATCACGGGTTCTGCTGCATCTTTCGGAGAAGGGATCACTGGGCTTCAGAGCAGAATGCCCCCCTGTAACATGACACTTCAGCATTCCCTGTAACCCTTTGGTCAGCTGCATAACTTGCCACCTCAAGACATGATTACTCAGTGGTGTTCTTAAGACTGCCCTTTGCTCAGCTTCTCCTCTTTCTAATTGCCAGAGGCAATTAGAAAGGGAAAATGTAAATAGAAAGATAATATCTCACTGGATCCCAGTTGAAGGCTTGCAAAAACATTTGAGGTCAACTGAGAAGGGGCAGGGTTATGTGAGTTTCATAGAAGATGTGTAGACCTCACAGTGGAGAAGAATTCATAGTTCTGTCTATGAGAGTAGGACTGGATTTAGGTTCTGCGACTTTGAGGATAACCCTACATTTCCTATTTCTGCACTATGAAAACACTTGCATATTCTTCTAGATTATTTGGAATGTTTCTCCCCTCCCCAACAACCTGGGCTCTGCTATGAAGACTTAACCATTCCCACTACACAGATCTCAACCATCCATAAGTGTGGAAGGTGAATTGGATGCTTACTAAACATGTAGATATGCTTCATTCTTAAACATCTCAATATCTTAGGCCTTCAGCTTCAACCTTTCCTTGGGCCTCATGGCAAGCTGGCTTAACTCCAATCTATTGAATAAAGAGAAACAGTGTGTACAATTATTGTTGTTCTAGATTACTCAATAAGACTTCAATAGAAGACCCAAAAATTGCATTTGATGTTTCAGTGAAAAGATAGCATTTTTCTCCTGTTGGTTGTACAGAAAGTGGCTCATCAACCCATCATGAAGGAACTCATTACTGACAGACCAAGGACAGCAGAGCTGATGTGGAAACAGTTTGATCTTACTTTAAGTCATTGACTCAGTAGACTCTGAAATCTACCATTTCTCTGACCCTGTTACTTGTACTGACATTCTATGTGATATTTAAACTTTGGTTCTCTATTATTAAGTAACCTTCATGGGGCAGTAGATTCTAGGTAAACAGGTCCCCTTGCTCTATTTTGGTTGATTGCACGTTACCTCACAAACATCAACTGAAGTGTGTCTTATCATGCATTATTGTATCTTCCAAACACTAAAGCAGCTCTCTCCCTGAGCTAGAGGGAAAGTGGCAGCCCAGTAGCTTGAGTGAAGCACGGCACTGCCCCTACTCAGCCCTTCGTGTTGTAACTAATGTTGTGTGTGGGCACCAGGGCCAACAACCTTTCTCACAGACAAACAGCTGCAAGCTTAGATGTGTGAACTTTCTTTGTATTCTACACAACTTTCACTAAAGTAAGCCAATGTGGCTCCCTTCAGTGTAGATGCAATGGAAAAGTGGATCAGTTGTCACAAAAGAGCCTCCCTGCCCAGCTGGTCTGTGGGATTGTGTCCAGGGCTATAACCATGTGGGAAGTGACTGTGACTTTATAGAGAGCACTAAAGAATAACAGAGCTAACCTGCCTATTACTGATGGCTGGTGTGTAGACAGTATAGGATCTCCAATTCTCTGTGCACACCTGGGGTGAGGCCCTGGGTTGGACGCTACTTGACAGGTGTCCTGAATTAAGTCCTGGCTCCTGTTAGTTCCAGAGTTAAGTGGTCAATTTCTCTTTTGTTGTTGTTGGAGTTGGTGATGGCTCTCTCTATGTAGAGAACCTGCCAAAGGTTTTGTTTTCTCAGCAAAGAAAATATCATGTTGAATGAAGAAAATAAGTTAAATAAAAGGATATGGCAATAAATCCATTAAGTCTTTTCAACTGAACCCAAAGGATAATTTTCCTGGATACAATATTTAAACAATCCTTAAAAGACTGTTATTAGTTTTTGTTCTTGACTATTCAGAATAGAATATCTTACCAGTTTATTCTCAGTTGATTTCTTGTACCCTTTTAACCTCTAAGAAATATTTTGAGATATCAGTCATTTTTTCCCCTTCCTAGGTAGACTAAATCTAATATCAATGCTATTACTCTGCCCAGTGTCTTTGGGACATGATACTTTTGCTGTAGTAGAACAAGAGGTTCCTCAGTTTGAGATTTCGGTGACAAAGTTTTAATGGTGGCAAGTGAGATGCTGGCTGTTCACTGTGAATGGGAGCCAGCGGAGTGACCCCTCCACCTGGGAGGGCTTTGAGGGGGACATGACATTGATTTCCAGGACTGAGCAGATAGAGTCCCGGGGTTATCCACACTGAGGCAAGTTCCTTGATTAGTGTCTGTTCCCAGCCTTCACCAAGGGTCCGTGCCAGACCTCTCACCTTTCCAGGTCCTGAGGACATGTCAGGACTTCATATGAAGGTCTTTTACTCAGTGGGGCTGACTTCCTCTCCCCATTGGAACCAGGCCACCCAGGTTCACTCTTTTATAATCCTGCAGCTTTCTCTTCCTGACAATAGTCACAACTTGAAATACATTATTGTGGTAATTCTAGGGATTAAGAATGTTCCTGAAATAACCTATATCCTCACAGTAGAAGAGCCCAGGGCACTCCCCCACATGGCATCTCAGACAGACTAGAAGGCAAGGATTCAAGAAACTGGTCCCCAAATCCCTTGGGACATGCGTGAGCTATACTTGAAAATTTCTGGTGACCCAAAGTCTCACAGGGTGTTCTGAGAGCAGGTGGCCGCTTTGGGCACAACCTCAAGCTCTTCTGAGCTGATTTGCATGTTGTGTCATTAGACAAAACCCCAGACTGCTCTCGACATCCTTAAAGGCAGCTGGTCAGGGCCCCCGAAGAGCAGCCTCTAGTCCAGCTTTCTGAGATGGGGTCCGGGACTCCCCTCCTGTGGATTCTGCTGCTCTGCGCTCCAGGTGAGAGGGGAGCACACGGAGAAATGGTGGGTAAACTCACTCTGGCCACGATGCTTTCAGTGTATCTGGGTTTTTGGTGGCTGGAATTCAAGCATTTGGCATGGGGTTCCAGTTGCCCAGTTCCCTTCCGTTTTCTGGTTCCTCAGAGTGTTGTCCATGACTTTGACTACAAGGTCATCAGTGCTGTGGGCTTCCACTAGGATGCTCTCAGTATCTTTGTTAAATTTGTTGTGTTTCTCATTCCAGGCTGCACTGGGGACATTGTGCTGACCCAGTCTCCAGCCTCTTTGACCGTGTCTCCAGGGCAGAGGGCCACCATCTCTTGCAAGACCAGTCAGAAAGTCGGTGACATTTTGGGCATTACACACTATATTACATGGTATCAACAAAAATCAGGACAGCGTCCGAGAATGCTGATTTATAAAGCATCCAGTCAAGCGTCTGGGGTCCCGGCCCGGTTCAGTGGCAGTGGGTCTGGGACTGAATTCAGTCTCACGATTGATCCTGTGGAGGATGGCGATGCTGCCAACTATTACTGCCAGCAGAGTAAGGAGACGCCTCCCACGGTGCTCTGGGTCTAAACAAAAACCTCCCCAGGTGGCTGCTCAGTCATTTCAATGAAAAAAAAAAAAAAAAAAAAAAAAAAAACAGCCTTCAACTGCCAGAACTGTCAGCTCTCTATCTTTCAGATACAGTCTGATCTTCTCACACTAATTTGGATTTTTTTTAAAGATTTTATTTATTTATTTGACAGAGAGAGATCACAAGTAGATGGAGAGGCAGGCAGAGAGAGAGAGACAGAGAGAGGAAAGCAGGCTCCCTGCTGAGCAGAGAGCCCGATGCGGGATTCAATCCCAGGACTCTGAGATCATGACCTGAGCTGAAGGCAGCGGCTTAACCCACTGAGCCACCCAGGCAACCCTAATTTGGATTTTTAACTTCTCCTATTTGCTTGAGCTCACACAAAGATCTCTGTAGTTGTTCAGCAACTTCAGAATTGTGATGTAGTTACTTTTTATTTTTTGATGAAGATTTTTCTATCTTTGTGTCTTTTTTTTTTTTTTTTAAGAAAATCCTCTCATTTTGAAAGAACAGGAATAGGAAGGGTTAGTTAAAGCCTCGACATAAACAAGGGGAAGAAATGACAATGGGACAACTTCGAAATGACTAAAAAAGAAGTCACATACCTAGAGTTCACTTCTCAGCAAAGCTTTGCATTAACTCCTCCCAGAGTTAATGTAAAGTCAAGACCATTTGGAAATCCATATCTCTAGACACGGGACCTTTATTCACCAATACCTTAAGGAATTTTTATTACTAATCTTTATAAATCGATGACCAACAATGGGAGAATTGTTTCAGGAGACAAGCAGTGAGGCTGTTACTCATACTTGGGGAGCAGGGAAGATATTTCCACCCATGGTTCCTCATGGTCCCTTCATGGTATCTCCTCACTGCACACAGGGATAGATTCAATTTTGTTATGAGACTAAAGAATAGCTTTCAGCACTTTTCCTTGACCAAATCCTTGCATAAAATCTCTTGCTTCTGGTATTCTCACTTACTCTTTCATAAATGATATAGAACTTTTTGAAAACTATTCTCTAACAGTCACAGATAAATATGTGACTTCTAGCTAAATATCCCAGCGGTAGAATATTGTTCATCTTGTGACTAAAAAGATCATTACTTAATCTGTAGTTATTTAATGAGCCCCATTCTTGCTTCTCAGTGCCAGGATCCTTTTAAAAGGAGAATGAGTTTAAGGGCTGGATAACTTGCTATGCTAATAACCCAATAGCTAAGCGTCCTTCAGTTCCAGAGAGAAAGGTCTATTTTGTTGAACCTTCCTGGTGGGTTCTCTTCTCTGGATGGAACCAGTGCCTGTCTTATGTGGAAAGCCACACTGAGGATATCTGGATTCCAGGTCACCCACTGGGAAGCTAGTTTTCCCAGTGTCTTGAGGGTTCAGAGGTGTTTGAAGAGAGCTCAGTGGATGGGCAAGGTCTCAGCTGAGCAACTGCCAAGAAAAGAGGAGGGAAATCTGTGGGTTTCAGATTTTTGGATAGAAATTAGGTGACTCCTTCCTTAACATATTCTTATTGCTAAGGAAATTCACTTCACATAACGGGTCCATGGAGCTTTCCTTGCTAACAAGTTCAAAGTAAGCATGTCTGGACAGGGACATATAGTTGAGCCAGGTGTATGCACACTTTGTAAAAGCTCAGGGAATCTCCTCTTTCCTATACCCACTTGACTTATACAAAGAAGTGGATGGCATATGTGGACTTATAAGATAGGACCTCCTCACCTACACTCAGATGATTTGCATCTCTTTTGCTCTGAAACCACAAAATTCTCAGAATTGTTTTTAAGAAGTGTTCTCAGGAGAAATGTGTGTTTATCCTATGAAAGAACTCAGCCAACAATAGATTTTCAGCCTCCAGACCTTGTTCCTGTGATTGAGAGAAAATATCTTCTGAGGGGACCTGGAGAAAATTTCGGGAACTTTCTTGTCAGGGACTGGGCCTTCACAGAAGAGGCCATCACTTGTTCAGGTCAAATCGGAAGTATCTGGGGAACCTGGGAGAGGAGGTTCCTCTCAATATAGTCACCACTAACTCTCTGCATGAACTTGGGATATTTATGACCCTTTCTGAGCCTCAGCTTCATCCTGGTAAATTGTATGCAAGTGTATATGGTGTCCTCCACTTCTCTTTAATATCTGACATTTCATGGGGGGAGGCAAAAGAGAGTCTGAGAGCCCACTCAATTCTCTAGGACCTGAATGAAGTAAGGTGCTAATCCTAACAAGCGCCTTTTTCAGGTGGCAAATGGAACAGAGAAAGCTGCAAAAGATGTGTCTCCATGCTTCTGAAGGAAGCAGCTGTTCTCTGGGTGAGGGCAGATGAAGCCGGTGAGTTCTGTGGTGGAGACTGGATCACTGTGGTTCTCACTGGAGCCTTGCTGACCAGAGCAAACTGGAGCATCCTCCATTCCAGGCTGCCTATGGAAAGAGTAAAGTCTATTTAGATCCACTGGCACTGAATTGGGCTGGGATGCCAGTGGCCCTGCTGGTTGCACCAAGGATGAGGACCCTGGAAGTCTGCCCAGGTTTCTATTGGTACCAGGCTAGTTAGTTACCAACACTGACTCACTCTGCAGGTAAGGGCTATCCTCTCACCTTGCAGACAATGAAAGGGAGGCTGGAGACTACATCCTCATGATTTCTTTGGTGGTATCTAAGATTGGAAATGAAACACCAAAGGTATGCCTATAATCCAGATCTTAACTGTTATCTTCCTGACAGTGCTAGGATGATTGTTCTATATTGAGTTTTTTTTAAGATTTTATTTTTGTATTTGAGACAGAGAGCATGAGTGGATGAGAAAGGCTGAGAGAGAGGGAGAGGAACAAGTAGGCTCTCCGTTGAGTAGGGAACCCAAATTGGGTCTCTCTCCCAGGGTCCAGGGATCATGACCTGAGACGAAGGCAGATGCTTAACTGACTGAGCCACCCAGGTGCCCCTTTAATGAGCTTTTATGATTGTGCTGACTGAGCAAAAGTCACAGGACCCAACAACGCAGATAAAATTTTCACTACATGCAAAATCATCCCATGTTCCTCTCACCTTGAGCTGGAGTAACAGGAGGCAGATAAACTGAGCTGGGACTTCTAGGGTTCACTCTGTGTCCTAAGTAAGCCTGATCTCCCTGAAAGCACCAACCCAGGCATCGATATGGACTCTGGACAGCAGAGTGGGCTGGGAACAACATGAGCAGCAGGTGTGGAGGGACACCTGGGCTTCCAGGTGCAAAGACATTCGCCTTTTCTTCTTTACTCTTGAGCAACCCATCCCCAGGTGGTCATATCTGATGTCATGGGCTCAGCCTGAGGAAGAAATTTTTCTCCTGTGCTCACAGAATCGAACCCCTTGTGTCCTCCTGACTTACCTATCACCTAGACTTGGTGAGATGGCATTTGGTGCAAGTCTATGGAAAAGAAAATAGAATCCTGTGCATACATTTCCCCCCATCTACTGGTAACATGCCTACACAACTCCCTTGTTCCATGATTAGGTCAGGTTGGATGAAGAATTCCAATGAGAAGAAATCTACCTCCAGACCCAACTTTCCTTTATTGTTAGACATTTTTCTTGAAGACCCTGAAGTTGCTTCATTCTTTGTAAGGATTAGTAAAAAACCACACTGAACTGGGCCCAACTATGTGAATGGAGAGACAACCACAAATGCACAGGTGAGGAGGACCCTGGTTTTGACTCTCAGAGCGCAGATACCATTTCTCTGAAGACCGAGGTGGTGCCGTCCAGCACTTAGGTTATATCGTCTGGCTCTGATTCTCATTTCCTATAAGTCTTGGGTTTTCCTTAAAGCAGTTATACTCCTTGTTTTCTCAGCTTTTCACTTCCTTTCAAAGAAACAGCTTTATTAATGTGACTCTAAGTTCTATACATATCTTTTCAGTTTGTTCATGTATCTTGTTTTTTAGATTTCACGTACAAGTAAAGCATTGGTATTTCTCTTGGTCTGACTTGTTTCACTTAGCATAACACCCTTTAAGTCCACATTGTTGCAAATGGTAAAATCTGATTCTTTTTTTATGGCTGAGTAACATTCCATTGTATATACACCACATTTTCCTTACCCATTCATCTATAGATGGACACTTAGGTTGTTTCTATAGCTTGGTAATTATAAATCATACTACAATAAACATAGGGGTGCATAATATCTTTTTAAATTAGTATTTTTTAAAGATTTTATTTATTTATTTGACAGACAAAGTTCACAAGTTGGCAGAGAGACAGGGAGAAGCAGGCTCCCTGCTGAGCAGAAAGCCCGATGTGGGGCTCGATCCCAGGACCCTGGGATCATGACCTGAGCCGAAGGTAGAGGCTTTAACCCACTGAGCACCAAGGTACCCCTAAACTAGTATTTTTGAAAATAGTAAATCTTATAAAAATTCTTTCTTCGTTACAAAAAGGCTTTGAAATTTTCCTTTCTACTTATATACAGAAACCATAATATTCCCAATTCTAAAAAAAGAATCTCTGTCTCCTGCATGATAAGGAATCATGCTGTGGCCTGGACAGTGAAACTGACCAGGAGTTGACACAAGTAATAAGATTTGGTAAAAAGGTATAAGGCAATCATGTAGGGGAACAGAGCAGTCTCTGTGAGTCTCTATATTTGACCATCATCACTGAATGAGGAAGGACTTATGCAGGTTGGTTTTACTGAAGATTTGCCTCAGTTGTCAGAGGATGTTAGTTTGTGTTCAGTAAAACAGAAGGCTAGTGTGTAATTTGTCTGAGATCCAGATAGTCTTGGTGAAACTATTTTATCTGTTCTCCTGGAATCAGAGTTTATGAGAGGGAGAGACAGAGAGAGTGGGGTGGAAGGGGCAGAGAGCCTCTATGTGGGGCTCGACCTCATGACTCTGAGGTCATGACCCTGAGATCACAGTCCTGAGATCATGACCTAAGCCGAATCAAGAGCTGATGCTTAACAGACTGGGCCACCGAGTGGCCAACAATGTGATACTCTTATACTTTGACCCGTAGACTTTATCAGCACACAGAGTCTAACCCACACTGTTTCCGCCAATGCTGGAGACACACAGAGGCC